TTTTGAGATAGAGTCTCGCTCTGTCACCAGGCTGGAGTGCAGTGATGCAATCTCGGCTCACTGCAACCTCCGCCTCCTGGGTTCAAGTGATTCTTCAGCCTCAGCCTACTGAGTAGCTGGGATTACAGGCGCCCGCCACCACACCCGGCTAATTTTTGTATTTTTAGTAGAGACAGGGTTTCACCATGTTGCCAAGGCTGGTCTCGAACTCCTGACATCAGGTGATCCGCCTGCCTCGGCTTCCCGAAGTGCTGGGATTGCAGGTGTGAGCCCCGCCCGGCCACTCCCTCAAATTCCCTGGGGTGGTTCTTTCTCCACCTCTGGGTGTTCCCTCACATGCGTGTGTTCATGAATACTCCACTGAGTATTATTAGCAAAGTGGATGCTCCCCAGAGTTCTCTCTCTGCATTATCCTCTCCCCTCTCATACTCGGTCCTGAAGGCCCTGGCTGCCCAGACCCTCCATCCCAGTTCCTCCTCTCAGGGAGTGTGCCAAGCTCCACTTGGGACTTCACCCCCACCACTGCCTGGAAACACTTCCCAGACAGTGGCACATTCCCAGAGCTCACTGTGACTGTTTCCTGTCTCCCAGGACTCACTGGCCCTGACTTCCTCATGCCCACTGTCTTGAAACCATTGCTCATGGATTTTGCCTTGGTTTCCCGCTATCTCAGGCAGGAGGGTAAATCAGATTGCTGTGAGTCTCTCTGGTCTGCAGTGGGAATTTGCAAGAGTTGGATTTCTGGCTGGGCGTGGTGGCTCACACCTGTAATCCCAGCACTTTGGGAGGCCGAGGCGGGCAGATCACCTGGGTCAGGACTTTGAGACCAGCCTGGCCAGCATAGTGAAACCCTGTCTCTACTAAAAATACAAAAATTAGCCGGGCGTGGTGGTGCATGCCTGTAATCCCAGCTACTCGGTAGGCTGAGGCAGGAGAATTGCTTGAACCCAGGAGGCAGAGGTTGCAGTGAGCCGAGATCACGCCACTGTGCTCCAACGTGGGCGTCAGAGCGGAACTCCGTCTCGGAAAAAAAAAAAAAAGAGAGAAAGAGTTGGATTTCTTACCCATAGTATGTTCGGACCTCTTCGTTCCCATTGCCCCTTTGAGGCACAGAGTTACTGGGTGGAAGGTCTCAGCTGTCAGTTGTCTAGGTTCTTGCCGTGTTGAACAAAGAACTGAACAAAACACACAAGTAAAGCAACAAAAAAGAATGGAGTAAGGGGCCGGGCGCGGTGGCTCAAGCCTGTAATCCCAGCACTTTGGGAGGCCGAGACGGG